AGAAAAAAGCCCTCAAAAAAAAAAAAAAAAAAAGTAAACAAGCAAATAAAGTTAAATAAAAGAGAGAGAGAGAGAGAGGTACAGGAGCCCCAGTTTGCCTTCCTTCAGCACCCAGGGATTCCCATCCCGCACTGGGCGTTCAAGATGAGTGAGCCTCAGACCTAAGCCAAAGACCTCTGAGACACAGGGACAAAACAGGACAGTCGCTATCATTTCTGGCACTCACTGGGTGCCAAACACTGCGAGTCCTTGGCTGTTGTTGTTTGTTGCATTTTTGACCCTTCAGAACCACCCCGTGAAAGTAGGCCATTGTACCCATGAGGATATGAGGGCTTGGAGAGCTGGGATGGCTGATCGAGGCCATGCACTGGCCAGAGGCCTGGTGGGGCCGTGAGGGCCTATGCCCTTCACCCCACTGCTCACTGGTGCGCTGGGGGTGGCCGAGGGGAGCCCCAGTGCCCTGGCTGTCTCTGAAGTTCTCACTTCTCTCTTTCTCTCTCTCAGATTTTGTGGGTTCTACAGTCAGCTCGGTGTTGAGGCCAGGGGGTGATGTCTCCGGATGGGGCGTCCTCCCCTGCCCTGTTGCTCACACGCAGGGACCCTGAAGGCCAGGATCACAGCCCAGGAACTGACCTGACCTCAGCTTGTCCTGTCTCTGCCCTCTCATCTCACCATTCAAGCTCCGAGGGAAGACCCCGATCTCACCGGCTTCTCATTGCTGCGAGCTCCCGGCTTTGACGACAGGACGGGGCTGCAGTGCAGCCCGGAGGAAGGGCCTGGGAAGTTTTGATTCTGGCTCCTCCCTCAGTTTGACCTCCGGAGCCTGAGTCCCCATCCCTGGGCTTCCGCTCTCTAGATTGGCCTGGACACCTGAGGACCCCAGGGGAAGGTGGCACTGTGTTCCACTCCCCAGGCTCCCTCCGTCTGGAGGGCAGGGCTGCCTGGCCGGGTCCTTGCCTCCTCTGGTCCTTTCCTCTTCCAGAAGTTTATCAAGACACTGCCCCAGGGCAGGCCGGACTCTTTCCTACTTTTTGCCTACGATGGTTCCACCATGTCTGTCACAGAGCTCCAGGTGCCACCAGCCTCCCTGGGGCATCCCCTGCCCTCCATCCAGCCTGCTCCTAGCTTTTCCAAAGGAACCTGAGCTGCGTCCAGGGAGAAAGCACAGGGCCGCCCTCTCAGTTGCTGACTGGGGCCCTGTTCAGCCCAGAGTCTGGGCAAAGACTGGTGGACTCTGCAGGGGCAGGAGGAGGCACCTGGCCTGGGCAGCCCCTCACTAGCTGCTCAGCCTGGGCTGGCTTGGCCTCCTCTCTGTGGGGATGTCTCACCGGTGACTGGACCCTTGACCTTGGCCTGTTTTGTACAGCACAGACTTCTAGGCCCTGTTGTCAGGGTTGGGGGCTCGGGAGGGGACCCCCATGGTGGAGAATTAGGGGATGCATCACCTCTTCTCCCCTTCTTGAACCCTCCTACCCCCTGAGCATCCGGCAAGGGCAGAGAACTCTCACCTCTTTGATACTTTTCTGCATAACTTGAACTTGCAGGTCACCTCTGAACAGGGTACCCCTGTCCCCACCCCTAGGCCTTGTTACCTGTCCCGCCTCCCACTCCTCCTTGCCCACCTCTCGCCTTGCGATATGCCCAGGGTCTGCAGCCTGATGGGCAGTGCCTCGAGCTGAGGCATGAGTGTGTGTGCGCGCGCGTGTGCATATGTGTGTGCGTGTGTGTGTGCGTGTGTGTCAGAGGGCAAATGAGAAATCTCTCTGCCCGTTCTCCTGCCGTGGGGGCTTCGCCCTCCACCGTGGCAGGGAGCTCGGGAGGGAGGCTCCAAGTGTTGTCTGAACACCCCTCCTTGCCTATGGGATTGGCGCAGAGCCACGCGGCCTAGGTGTCTCCCCCGCTTGGGCTGAGGACGACCTAGTGGAGGGCAGCACGTGGGCCCCACAGCGCCGCCGCCTGGCGCCCGCGGGTACCGCAGTCGGGGAGCGGGCCGCCCCCTGCAGGCTCAACGGGGAAGCTCGGGCCGGAGCGCCTTGCGTGGGCCACCCTCCTGTTCATTCGCGTTGGGCTTGGGCCTGGGCGTTAGGGTTTCCAAGAAAGGCCCTAGAAACCCGCAGCCTCCGTCATTGGGGTCCTAGCCAGAAGCAGGCCGGGATGGCCCCGACACTTGTAACTCAGAGTTCGAAGCCCGCCTCCTCTCCCCTCCCCTGTCCCAGGCCTCCTCCCTCGGGGTGGGGCTGCACATTGGGGAGGGGAGGGAGCAGAGTGAGATCCTCAAAGATCCTGAAGCCCCACACTGGACAGGGAGGGCAGTGAGGAGAGGAGGGGGACGAGGAGAGAGGTGGACAGCCGGGTACAGCGGAGGAAGGAGACAGGGGACTGCGGTGGACCGACTCCCTGGGGGGAGGAGGGGAGATGATGGGAAGGAAAGCACTGGGGTAGAGAAGGGGCAGTGGGGTGAAGGGTTTGGGGGGACAAGCCTGGGATGCAGGGAAAGACGAGGAGGAAGGAGACAGGGCGGTGGGGGCGGGGTGCCGCTGAACGTGCTGGGGAGGGGAAAGGAGAGGGCTTCTTCCCGCGGGGATGTCCACCACCCTGGGGGCCACCGGCCTGTCCCCTGACCAACAGGCTGACACTGACCCCATAGAGCCCAAGAACCTGCAGGCCTGGGGCCCCAGGACGGAGGCTCCTCCCATTGTGGAGGGACAGGGATGGGGGAGCCATAGTGGGCATGGGTTGGCGTCAGGCCGTAGAGGGACGCTAATCCCTTTAGGGACGGTCAGAGCCCGTGTCCCGCCATCCCCTGGCCAACTGCTGCCCTGGCTGAGCAACTCTGAGGTTAGGAAAGCAGGGTCGGGTGGGCCCAGGCCTGAGGGACCCCAGGGTGATGCAGAGAAGGGACAGAGGTGGGTAACAGATGCTTCGGCAGGGGCTCCAGGGCAGGCTTGAGGCCCTGTGGCTGTCTTGGGGCAGTGGAGACTTCCAGGAAGGGAGGGTGGGCAGCTGGCTTTCTTGGAGGCAGGGCAGTCCGGCTTTAGTCTTTGGCCAAGAGCAGAGATGAGGTCGACATTGTCCTGGCCCAGGAAGATCTCTTGGGCCTACCCCGAGCCTTCTGTTTAGGTCCCTGAGCAAAGTCCTCTCCTGAGACAAGGTCGGGCACCTGGTGCCACCACTTTCTCTGCTCCAGTCCCGGGACTTTACGGAGGGGCCAAAGCAGCTACCACCTAGAGGCAGCTCAGTCTGTGGTCCCCAGAGCTGATCAGTTAAGTCTTTCCTGGCCTTGGGGACCGTATCTGTGAAGGAAGACTCCCTGAGGGGTGAGGACCCTGGGTAGAAACAAGGTCCTTCTCAGGCCCAGAGCAGCCAAGGTGAGAGCTTTTAGACAAGGCTGTAAGGGAGATCTCCCGGCTGCTGGCGCTTCTTGCTCCGGCAGGGGGAGATCGCCTTTCTTCAGCTCCCAGTGTAAACTGAGAAAGGAAAACCTCTTTGGAGAAGCTGGGATCCTCCCAGGACAAGAAACTTCTACAGGCCCCTGCCTGGCTCAGGGCTAGCCTTCAGGTGGGACTGGAGTTTCCTGAGAAGGGGAACAAGGAAGCCACAGTCCTTCCCAGCGCTCTGGCCGGCAGACCTCCGAGGGCCTGTGCTGTGTGTTGTTAGGATAGCTTGGTGTTGTCTACACCCCATCAGTAAGTTCTGTCTGGATGTGTCCTCGCTGTTCACTGTCCATTTGGTAACATTTATTTTGGTCCTGACCCTTTCTGCTGCTGCTGGATTTGAGCTTCAGTGCAGGTGGAATGACGTTCAAATAAAGAAACACTTTGTATCACCCATGCTGGCTGCTGCTTCTCTGAGTCAGCCCCAGGGGATGGAGTCGGGACCCCTTACCAATGATCGAAGCCCCGCTTAACATGAGTTTATTTTACCATCATACAGAACAGAAAGCCTGGAGGCAGAGCATGACTAAAAGAGCCCACAGGTGCCAGCAAGTGGCATGAAGGTTAAGGCAGCTGGATCCCACATGGCTGGTGGCATAGTCGAGTCCTAGACCCGGTGGCTTGAAAATCACACCCAGTATTTGTGCACATGTGCCTGAAATCCTAAGGAGAATGGAGAAGGGACTGCGGTGTGGCGATCCCCTTGGAGGGGAGGGGAGATGATTTCTCACGTTCCCTGTCTTTCTCTGTCTCTCTCTGGCAAGCACACATGCCCTGTAACACGTTAAAACCAAAAAAGCCCACAGAGTTATCAGGAACCCAGACTCCTATCTTTCTGCAAGAATATTTTCTTTTTTTTTTCTTTCCCTTCTGCTATTACATTTTCAATCGTAGCTTTCACCTTCAAAGACCGCTCATGGCCCAAAACGGCTGGCAGAGCTCCAGTCACCTGGTCCACATTTCGTTTTAGAGACATCTGCAAATCTCATAGGACTGAGTCACGTAACACACATAAAGAAGGCTGAAAACGTAGTTTTGGAAAACTAGGGACATTGCCAATCCAAATAAAAATTGGGGTTTTGTTACAAAGGAGAGGGACTTGAATGAGCAGGCAGTTAGCCAACAGCAGCGGCTTGACTTCAGACTCAGAAATCTGGCCAGAGCACACAAGGCACCCCTCTTCTGCCCACGCGGAAGTGGACAAGTCTCTTCCATTCTCAATCCCTACAGAATTGGGGTGGGGGGCAACACGAGGGACCATCTCTCCGGGAAGCTGTAAGGAACAAACGGGGAATGTCCGTCCACTGCCACCACAGTGGTTGGCACACGCGCCCCACGCGGCTGCCCCTGAGCACTGAGTCTTCGCTCGACACGTTTTGAGCTCTGAGTGTATACCAAGCACTTCAGGAGGTGAACATGTGGCGATGATGTATACGTTGCTAAGTGCAGGGGGCTGGGGTGCCCTGAGGAGGGTTTTTTCCCCCCTTATAATTGCCAGAGTGTGCGTGCTTTGTCTCACACCTGTGCACTGACCCAAGGGGCGTGGTTAAGTCACAATCCCTTCTCCTCTCTTTCCATCCTGTTGGATTTGGGGCATACATGCACACGTGTCTGGCCTGTTTTTCCAGCTGCTGGGTGGAATGAGCTGCAGTCGGCCATACGGGATCCAACGCCCTTAACCACTAGGCTATGGGGCTGGCCCAAGATGTCCAATATTGAGGAAGTGAAATTGAGGACACTTGGTAACCAATTGATTGTGGGGTTTTGGGGGGGTGGAGTGTCATCAAGAGGACAGTTATAACTTTTTCTTTAAGGGACTAGAAAGATCAGCCAGTATGGCAGGGGAGCAACTTAAGATGCACAATTTAACATACATGTGAGACTGGCCAGCAGGTGGTGTGGAGATTAAGGTAGCTGGATCCTGTGCAGCCAACGGTATGGTCTGAGTCCCACACCTGCTGGTTCGAGTCCTAGACCTGGTGGCTTGATAAACATGTTGGGGGGGCAGCAGGTGGCATGGTGGCTAAGGTGCTGGACTCCCACATGGCTGACCCTGGTTTGAGTCCTGGACCTGATGACTTACTTTCTCACTCTTTCATTCTCATCCTCTGTCTCTCTCCAGTCAAATTAAAATTAATAAAAATAATTTAAAAATGAAAAAAGAATGACAATAATTGGGATTAGCAGGCGGTGTGGTGGTTCAGGGTGCTGGACTCTCATATGGTCAACCACAGTTCGAGTCCCGAACCTGGTGATTTGCTTTCTCTCTCTCTGCCCCTCTCTGGTCAAATTCAAATAAATAAATAAATAAAGTTAAATAAAATAATTTAAAAAAAGTGATAATAAAATAATACATTTAAAAATAATAAGTAAAATAAAATAAATAATTCTTTGAGAGAGAGAGAGAGAGAGAGAGAGAAAGAGAGAGAGAAAAGAAAAACAGGCTGGACTTGTCTGCATGTGTGCTCAAAATCCCGAGAAGAAATGGAGAAGGGACTATGGCCTGGCCATCTCCAAGGTGGGGTAAGCTCTCACTTCCTTTCTCTAACTCTTTCTCTGTCTCTCTCTGACAAGTACATACACCCAAACTAAGACAACAAGCCATGGTGTTGTCTAGAGGCTGACTCCTCCAGATGTGGGAGCTCAAGAGAAAAACTGAGGTCAGGAATGTTGGCATAGGGACCAGCAGTTAGCGTAATGGCTATGTCGCTGGACTCCCACGTAGTCGACAGCAGTTCGTGTCCCGGACCCGGTGGCTTAAACTCATGCCGGGCGCATGTCCGTGCATGCCCAAGATCCCGAGAGGAGAATGGAGGAGAAGGGATTGCAGCGTGGCCATGCCCCCTGGAGGGTGACTTCTCGCTTTCTGTCTCTCTGTCTCTGTCTGTCTGTCAAGCGCACGTGCCCTATAGCAAAAACCTCTCAAAAAAAAAAAAAAAAAAAAGAAATGTCAGCATACAGGTAGTGGCTGGAATCGGCGTCGCTGGGCTGCTCAGGACGACGACTGAGGTGTGAAGGAGCCCAGGGATCTGGAATGCTGGAACACATGACAGGAAGGGCAGGCTGGGGAGCAGAGGTCCACGAAGAGAAGAGGGCAGCAGAAGAGTTGGAGGGCGGTATGAACGATGAGGGTGGAGCTAGGGAAACTAAGAGGTCCAGTAGAAGGGACCGAAAATGGTCAGCTGGATTTGGAAACAAACAGGCCATGAGTGAAGCTGGGAAGAGAATATTCAGGAGTGTGGGGAGAGCCAAACTGAGGCCCGTTCTGGGAGAGAGTGGGAGGTGACTGCGTGAGGACTGCTATTTAGAGAAGCGCAGAGAAGAGGAGGGAAGGAATGGCTGGGTTTCATCAAGGAAATACGAAGTCCGCCCAGAGAGCCGGCAGTGGACAGCGACCAATAGCTGCCTGGAGGGGGCCGTGCTACTATTCTTCAAACATGGGAGTGGCCCACGGTCCTGGTAAGCTGCAGGCCTTGGGAGAGGAGACCCTGTGGAGCATGTGCCCTAGTGCACATGCATGTGCTAGAACGAAGTTTTGAAAAATGGCGCTTTATGGGGCCAGCGGGTGGTGTGGTGGTTAAGGCACTCAACACTCCCACATGGCCAACCACAGTTCAAGTCCTGGACTTGGTGGTTTGCTTTCTCACTTTCCCCCTCTCTCTCTCTCTGATCAAATGAAAATAAATGAAGAAATAAAACATACATAATTCTTAAAAAACAAACAAACAAAACAAAACAAAAAAAGAAGGAGCTTTCCAAATATTCAAAGGATGTAGCCAGTAAGAGACAAAGACAGGATGACTAAAGGAACTAGGTTCTGAGGGAGGAAGCGAGCTGGCCCAGGGTGCAGAGACTGGTCTTCAAGACAAAAGACGTCCTGTCCAGAGAGGAAACTGACATTTAAGTCACACCTAGGACAAGAGCAGTTTGGGGAGCTCTTGTCTGGTGGCCTCCACTTTCTCATGAAAGGAGAAAACATAATCACTTACTGCAAAAAAATGGAGGATGGAGCAGGGGGCTTGAGAATAGTGGGGAAAGCGTGACACAGCTGCTAAAGGTGCCAAGGAGATGGGCCCAGAAAATGGTGTGATGGAGAAGGGACTGCAGCATGGCCATCCCCCCTGGGAGGTGATTTCTTGCTTTCTGACTCTGTCTCTCTGGTGAGTACTATAGAAAAAAACCTCTCCAAAAAAAAAAAAAAAAGTTTCAACATTGGGGACCAGCTGGTGGTGGGGTGGTTAAGATGCTGACTCCCACATAACTGACGGGTTCGGGTCCTAGACCTGGCAGCTTGCTTTCTCACTTCCCTTGTCTTTCTCTGGTCAAATTAAATAATAATAATAATAATTTAGGGAAGTAATTCTTTTTTTTTTTTTGGAGAGGTTTTTGCTATAGGGCGCGTGCGCTCGCCAGACAGAGACAGAGAGACAGAAAGCGAGAAATCACTTCCCGGGCGCATGGCCACGCCATAATCTCTTCTCCTCCATTCTCCTCTCGGGATCTTGGGCATGCATGCACACCCGCCCGGCGTGAGTTTAAGCCACTGGGTCCGGGACTCAAACCGCGGTCGACTACGTGGGAGTCCAGCGACATAGCCATTACGCTAACTGCTGGTTCCAATAAGTGAAGTAATTCCTTTCTTTTTATTTTATTTAAAGGAGCCTTCCTTTCTCTCTCTCTCTCTCTTTCTTTTTGACCAGAGAGGGGCAGAGAGAGAGAGAGAGAGAGAGAGAGAGAGACATTTAGAGAGAAAGAGAAAGCAAGCCGCCAGGTGTGGGATTCAAACTGTGGTCGGCTATGTGGGAGTCCAGAGCCCTTTACCACCACGTCACCTGCTGGCCCCCAAATTAAATTATTCTTAAAAAACAAAAAGTTTCAAGTTTGGGGGCCAGCAGGTGGTGTGGTGGTGAAGGTGCTGAATTCCCACCTGACTGACAGCAGTCTGAGTCCCAGACCTGGCAGCTTGCTTTTCACTTTGTCTCTCTCTAGTGAGCACATATGCCCTATAGCAAATTTAAAGGGGCTGGCAAGTGGTTAGGGGTGCTGGATTCCCACATGGCTGACCATGGTTCGAGCCCTGGACTTGGTGGCTTGCTCTCTCACTTTCTCTCTCTCCTCTCTCTCTCTCTGGTCAAATTTAAATAAATAAAGTTAAATAATCATTAAATATTTAAAAAATAATAAATAAATAAATAATGAGATGAATACATAACTGGTAAAGAATGCTCCACGCCTGCTGGTGTGTGTGTGTGTGTGTGTGTGTATAGGCAACATGGCACAAGGCTCGAGTGTTTGCAGCTCTGGTGGAGACCAGGCTGGGCCACAGGATGGGGCAGCAGTAGGGGTGAGCCATGCTTGGCATGGAGCAGAAGAGCAGGCAGGGCATGGATGAAATCTGCAGTTGCTGCTGAT